TTTTCAGCCTGCTATTCCCCTTCCATTTATATATGTTCTAAGGAGATGACACGTAACTTCAAAACTCATATGCCCTTCGAGGAATTGACGGACTTTTCTCACGCAAATAAAAAAATGAATAGATATAATGAGGATAAGAATCAACGTTAACACATGCTAAGAGCCATTTATTGAGTATAATCAATGTATCAATGAATGATACAATGACCTTTAACGTTTTTCCTCCTCGTGTCGTGCAAAAACCCCCACACAGATTACACTCCCTCCAATTACATTGTGGGATGGTATATATACGCGTGATGTTCGGGTGTATATCCAGTGGCCAGTGGTATCAGTCCGGCAAACGTTAAGTAAGTATCAGGTGATTTCAATCGAAGCTTTTATTCACTTAGCGGTTGTGTCGCGAATTTGTCTTTCACGTTCGTTTCTAACTGATTGAAAGATTGTATATACGAGATATTATTCTCTTTTCGAAATCTTACAATTTTTCGGGAGAGAGAAGTATCGCTGCAAATCGGAAACATGACGAATACAGCTGAGAATGATCCGTTTTATTACTCTTTGAGCGGCAATAAGCAGGAAGATGAGGTTAGTCTTTCTAATGATTTTCTCTTTTTTTTAATTTTTGATTTATTTCCAATAGTAGACAGATTTTGATGACTTACAATTAATCAAAGACTAAAAAATTACGTAATTTCTCTTAGAAATTATTGGAACCGATTAGATACATTCTTCAAGTTCCTGGAAAGCAGATAAGGGCGAAATTAGCCCAGGCCTTTAATTACTGGCTAAAAATATCACCCGACAAAATACAAGCAATTGAGGAAATAGTAACCATGCTCCACAACTCAAGCATTGTGTAAGTTTGCATTTTATTACATCAGTATGACCTTTTATGTGTTTTGTATATTTTCCAATTGCATACTTTTCTAATTCTCATGATATGTATATATATGTTTAGATTGATATATTTTGTCAGCATAATTTTCTAGCATTAAGAAGTACTATTTTTGTGATGTGTCTCTAATCTTTTTATAATGTATTCAGCGACAATTTTCATTATTATTTAGTGTTTTACTTACCAAACTATATAACACTATCAGATTTTGTCCAAATTAATGAGGAAGTAATTATCTTGCATATTAATTGTTGATTTCAAATATAATATATATATA